GGCTATTTTTCACACTTACGACCATCGCAGCATCCCCACAGTCATGTGAGTTACATTTGGATTTTTGGAAAGGGGTTGACAAGATCCATTGAAGGTCCTAAAACTGGGGCATCTGGAGCAGAGGTGGGATTCAGCCGGTTCTGACTGGTTCTACAGAACCGGGAGTGGAAATTTTGAGCAGTTCGGAGAACCGGCCAATCCCACCTCTGACTGGTCCCGCCAACCCCATTTCTTCTCTGCCTCCCATTGAGTCCCAGCTGATCGGCTGGGTCTCCTTTGGTTGCCCTGCACAGGAGAATGGAGCTGGAAAGCAGGCTAGTGGGGTGGGTAGGGAAGGGGGGTTTTGCAGTAACCTTCCTCTGCCACGCCACGCCCACCAAGCCACGCCCACAGAACCAGTAGTAAACACTATTGAATCCCACCACTGATTGGAGGACTGCAGATGGAGGAGAAATAACCAAGGTTTAAAAACAAGCAAAAACAAACCAGGTTAGCGAGCAGGAGAAAATAGGAGCTATCTAAAATAGGAGGTTTCCGGCTCCATTTTTTTCCAAGAAGAAGGCCAACCTTGGGGTGCCACCTGCAAAGTTCTGAGTGGAAGACAAGGGTTAATTGTCTCACCAGTGTTTATTGCAGTTCCTTAAAATCAGATTGCTGTTGGTGCAAAGGTCAGCAGGAGGAGATGTTATATGCATTTTTTTTGTGTGGGTGTTGTTGTGCTTGATGCGAAAAAGGCAAACTTGTGCCCTCGAGGCCAGTTTTCCAGAGAGGTTCCTGCCAAGGGCCACCCGGCAGGAAAGGTGGGGAAGCTTTTATCCCAGGACTCAACCGGTTTTGGCTTCTTGCTAGGAGGCCCTAAACCCAGCCGCTTGGAGAAAGTTTTGCATTTTATGGGCCCCTTTTTGGGTGAACAGGAAGGGGAAATGAGTCACAAAAGTGCGCGGGAAATCAGGGCAGAAAGAGAAGAACTCCTGGTGATCACCAAGGGGGTCTCACCAACCATCTCATGGTCTTTCTCTGGGGGATCCGGGGATCCCCATTTCTAAAATCCGAACCTGGAGAGAACCGCTGGGTTGTTTTCTGATGGGACTTGCTATTGTTCTCCAGGACTCCATACATCCTGTGTTTCTTTCAGCTGCAGCCTTTTTAGAAACAATGAGGTTTCCTGTCTATCCCCCAAGCTGGGCTCTTTGGGCAGAGTCAAGCTTAGAGAGAGAAACCGTCTTGTCCCCTCCTTTCATTTGCAAAATTCTCGTTTTGGAAGAGACAAGGAAGCAGGAGTGGCCATGTCTGGTTGTGTCACTGGAACGGAGCGAACTTCAGCTTCAAAGGGCGTGAGGAGCATCTCCCGCTTGGTGGGACATCATTGTTCTTCCAAGAAGGGTTAGAAGATCTACAGAAGAAACATGGTGTAGGACCGTCATGGCGAACCGATGCCAGTGGTACGCAGAGCCATCTCTCTGGGCATGCCAGCCATCGCCCGTGACTCTTCCGGGTTCCGTCACATGCATGCGCACCAGCCAGCTGGTCTTTGCACACATGGGAGCTCCAGAAACTGGAAGAGCAGCTCCCCAGCGTGCATGCGTGCACTGGGAAGCTGAGTTTCTGGTTTCCAGTGCATGCATGCATGCCGGCCAGCTGGTCTTCATGCATGCGTGCACACCAGAAACCGGAAGACTAGGTGGCCACCACGCATATGCACCGGAGAGCTGCTCTTCCCCTTTTCTGGGTGCTCATGCGCACACACACTCCCATTTTGGCACTGGGCGCCGAAAAGGTTTGCCAACACTGGTGTAGGAGAAGGAGTGACAGAAGCTGCAGGTGGAGTGAAAAGAGCAACCGGCCTAGAATCCCTAAGGATCCACAAGTGAACTAAATCTAGCCACCTTGAGTGCCGTCGACTCCTATCTAATTCCAAGCATGTATCTACTGTTAGTTGAGAAGATTCCTGCACGTTGGCTTTTAGCAATAAAGCAGTTTAACTGAATCTTTGTCTGGGACTGGTCTTCAGTGCCTGGCAGAGGTTGACCAAGGGCGTTGACCAGATGTTGACCAAGGGTTGACTCTGGTATAGCATCTTGGCACACACGTGGAGAATAACAAGAGTTAGAAGGGACCTTGGAGGTCTTCTAATCCAACCTCCTGCTTAAGCATTTCAGACAAATTGTTGTCTAATCTCTTCTTTAAAAACCTCCAGTGATGGAGCCTCCACAACTTCTGGAGACAAGTCCCAATTGCCACCATCATGCATCTCCTCAAAAGGAGACTTTTCTGGGGCAGTTCCATAATTTCAGCCTCTCGCCAAGGCGGGCTCTCTTCCTGTCGGAAAAGCTCCGCTGGGCTTCTCCTGCTTCCGAGAAGAGGCGTTGGCTTGATTCTTGGCATCTTCCGGAGAAGCAGCCTGGGCATTAATCAAATAAAAATATAATGCTCTCCCCCTTTTGGGCTATTTTTAGCAGGCTGTGGATGAGCAAAAGGCTATTTTTGGGTGCGGAGTTGCTAGCGACGGCAGGCCTGATCTAATCTAGTAAATATGATGGGGGTTTTTCCCCCCCCTTTCCTCCTTTTTATGACATTCCCATTTGAGGGTTTCCAGCAGAACCTGATCTTTTTCCTTGTTAAGCAGGCCGGCCACGATTCCAACGAAGTCAGTTTCCTCTCTTGTCCTTAGTTTCTCGAGGCTCGGTTGCTTCGAGAAACTCTGAAATAACCAGGAAGGTGTAGGGTCTCCTGCTTGGGCAGGGGTTGGACTAGATGACCTACAAGGTCCCTTCCAACTCTGATTATCTATTATTTGTTATCAAACAGTTTAATCCTTGACTAGGTATACTGGATTTAGACGCAAAACTCCAGATGACCACAAGGGGAGCTGAGGAGTTCGGTTGCCTTCTGGAGTTGTGTAGCCAGGGACGTAGAATGGCTTCTTCTTCTTCTTCTTCTTCTTCTTCTTCTTCTTCTTCTTCTTCTTCTTCTTCTTCTTCTTCTTCCTCTTCTTCCTCCTCCTCCTCCTCCTCCTCCTCCTCCTCCTCCTCCTCCTCCTCCTTCTTCTTCTGTAAAATAAAGTTTTCTTTTCTTTATACCTGAGCTGCTTCTCTGCAAGATGCCAGAGCTCAACCCCAGCCCCAGATATTAGCAGGGGGGGGGGTGCAATTGTTTGGGGCAAGAGAGGTAAAGAAGGTTTTTCCTTTTCCCCTGTCTGGACACCCGGCGCAAGTTTGCTGGCTTTGTGGTTTCCTTAAAACACGCAAAAACTGGGACACAGTTTTATGGCTTATTTAAAGACGGTGCAACACAATTATCTCGGTTTGCAGGACAATAGACTTTTCCGTGTTCCTTTTCCTGCACATACTTATGGTTGTTGTTTTTTTCAAAAAAAAATTCTTTTCTTTTTTATGGAAAGACACATTATAAATCATGGTGGTGGGGATTGACCTCTGAGTCTGCAGGGCATTGAGGGTCTTCTACAAAGGGCCAGGATGAGGGGGAGAGAGAGGAGGAGGAGGAGGAGGAGGGAAATATCTGTGCGTCTCCCCCGGTTTCTCTTCTCTTTGTCTCGGCGATTAAACCAAGTTTTGGCTGTAGACACCCTTCCCAAACATCTCAGGCCTCCCTCTGGTTAACCAATCCAGCTGTATGCTAATTGAGGGCAAGTTTCAGCCTCCCCTCTTGCATTAAGTTGGCTGCAAGACTATTGTTCAAAATTGCTTCGCTTCCTTGGCGGAAACTTTTTTTTAATGGAAGGGGAATGAGGGGAGAGGGGGAAGAATACCCCATGGTCCAAGTTAGAGAGAACAACACTCCTTTCTTTCTTTCTTTCTTTCTTTCTTTCTTTCTTTCTTTCTTTCTTTCTTTCTTTCTTTCTT